TTAAATTTTTTGCAGTACCAGGGATTGAACTCAGGACCTTGTGCTTGTGAGGCAGACTTGGTGCCACTGAGCTAAATCCCCTGCCCTGCTGCAAATATTTTGAAGGTGTACCTGATAGAAATTTCTGCATGGATGGGGTAATGCTGCATTAGAGAAAAATAATGAATTAAGGGCTATGAAGCTATAGGCTTAGCACTTAGGATGGAGCTGCCATTTAATGTGATTAGAAAGACTTCAGGAAGAGCAAGATGACAGTGTGAGCTCTTGTTATATTGTTTGAAATGCCTATTAGACAGTTGAATTGTTTTGTCATAAAAACAGTTAGACAATACAAGTCTGATGTCAAGAGGGAAGTCTTAGGGGCCAGGGATATAGCTCAGTGGTTCCACCTCCTGCCTCACAAGCGCAAGGACCCGAGTTTGATCCTTGGTACCAAAAAGAGAAAAAAAGAGGGCGGTCTTAGCCCATGGATGGTCTTCAAAGCCATAGTACAGATAAATCACCCGTTACATGAGTAGACAGAGAAAAGATGAACAATTCGGACTATGTTTTGAGACACTCCCATATTTGGAATTTAGGAACATGAGGAAACCTCCAAACATTAGATTGGAAAGAAGGACAGAAGTCAGGTGAGTATGGTGTCCTAGAAGGCAAGTGTAGAAAGTATTTATTAGAGAAAAGGCTAATTAATTGTGTCAGATGCTGCTAGTAGTTAAATAAAGTAATGACCAAGAATTGGGCAGATTTTTTTTTTCCAGTACTGGGGATCGAACTCATCACCTTACACTTGTGAGGCAGGCATGGCACCAATGAGCTAAATCTCTGGCCCTAAGAATTGTCTGCTGGAGTTCATTAGTGACATGAAATGAAGTTTGATGAAACAAAAATCTGGATTGGATTCAAGAGAGGATGAAAGGAGAGAGTGCAAATATGGTTAAGATATTTTGTCCAAACAGTATTGCTGAAAAGGGATTTAGAAAAATGGGTAGTACACAGTGGGGAGTTTTGTTTTAAAATGGAAGAAATTTTAGCATGTTTATC